TGCCGGGGCATCGCCGCAGCTGCCTGTGGGCAGAGAGCAGCGTGAGCCCAGCAGCACGGCACAGCATGGCCTGACATGGGCTGGCATGGCATGGCGCAGCACGGCATGGCACGGCGCAGCACGGCACATCACAGGACGCTGCCTGCCCCGATAAAGCCTGCCGGCAGCAGCAGACAGACAAGCAGGGAGCCAGCCTGCCCTGTCCCAGGGCAAGGAGGGGTTCAAGCCATCAGATGATGCTTTTGGGAGCAAAACAAACCACGTTTGCCGGAGGAGGGACCTGGTCTGTATGATCGGGACATGAGACCTGCACCCCACAGGGTGTCCTGGCCCCCCTTACCTTCCCACAGACCGCTCGGCGCCTACTGGCTCCTGCGTTTCGGGAGGCACAGCTGAGCTGGGACAGTCACCTGCCTCGATGGGGAACCTCCGAGCCTGCGGTGCCCGCTGGGAGCTCATGTCCGGGCCCTGGATGCGTCTGACCGGAGAGGAGCAGGTGAGTGAGCCGGGTGAGCACAGGCCCCCCAACAATGGTGAAAGCACAGGGGGGACATGGGGGACCCCAGCCAGCCCTGTAACGTCTGCACTGCCCATGCCAAGAGCCTCCACTCACCAAGAGGGCGTTCCAGCCTGTCCCCCACCTCGCTGCGCATCCGCCACCCGACTGACGCAGCATTGGCTGCATCACAATAGCATTCCCCGGTTTTAAAAGGTCCCTCTGTGCCCCCCCGGGGTGCTGTGGGTGCCCCCGGGCACTGAGATGCTGTTGCAGGGTCTCTGTGGGATGAACTGAGGGAGCGAAGGGTCTCAGCCCACACGAGGACATGGAAGGGTTTTTACTCGCCAATGGCTACCAGCTTGGCAGGACCATTGGGGAGGGGATGTACTCCAAAGTGAAGGAGGCTTTTTCCCAAAAGCACCAGAAGAAAGTGGCAATTAAAATAATTGATAAGAAGCAAGGCCCAGAAGGTAAGAGTTGAGTCCAAAAGAGCTCCAGGCTGAGGCACTTGTCCCTCCCTGGAGGCTTGTAATTCCCAGCAGAAAACTAGTTTCCCAAACTCGCCACCTGAGAGCAGACGGGGAGGAAGGTGCTGTGGGGGTCCCACAGAACAGCCCGGGGACCATGGCCCGAGCACTGGCACCTGCTTAGGCGGCCGCCCCTCTGACTGCAAGGACGGCAAAGTGCTGGCAGAGCCCAGCACCCCCCTCGACGAGCGTCCCTCAGGGAATGGTGCCAGCCCATAAGGAACCAAGCACCCCGGGAACGACCTTCCCTCCTTCTACTGAGTCCCAGTGGGGTGCCCAGAGCCAGCAGCTCTGGAACATCCCTGTGAGCAAACCTGCCTCCTCTCTCGGCAGAGTTTATTCACAGATTCCTGCCCCGGGAGCTCCAGATCGTCACACACTTGGACCACAGGAACATCATCCGGGTGCATGAGATGTTGGAATCCTCAGAGGGGAAGATCTGTCTCGTGATGGAGCTGGCAGAGGACGGGGACATCTTTGACTACGTGCTCCATGAGGGTCCACTGCCCGAGCCCCATGCCAGGGCACTCTTCTGCCAGCTGGTCGAGGCCATCCAGTACTGCCACGGCTGCGGGGTGGCCCACCGCGACCTCAAGTGCGAGAACGCCCTGCTGCAGGGCCACACCTTAAAGCTGACGGATTTTGGCTTCGCCAAGCTGCTCCCCAGGGACCGCAGGGAGCTGAGCTGGACCTTCTGCGGCAGCACAGCCTACGCGGCGCCCGAGGTGCTGCAGGGCGTGCCCCACGACAGCTGCAAGGGTGATGTCTGGAGCATGGGCGTCATCCTCTACGCCCTGCTCTGTGCCCACCTGCCCTTCGACGACACCGACATCCCCAAGATGCTGCACCAGCAGCAGAAAGGTGTCTCCATCCCCAGGCACCTGGTGATCTCCAAGGAGTGCCAGAACCTCCTGAAAATGCTCCTGGAACCAGACATGACCCTGAGACCCTCCATCGAGGGGGTCAGCAGGCACCCCTGGCTGACTAACCCCTGAGGACTCACCCTGCTCTCCCCAAATGGAACAGATTGTTTCTAAAATGACGATAAATTTGGAGGTCAGTGTTTCCCTTCTATCCGGCCTCGCAGGTAGTGTGCCAGGCCTCCGGCTGGCAGAAACAAGGTCTGGCTCATACTCAGGGATTTTTATCGGCTCACTCAAAGGCCTCAGCTCTCAGCAGTGGGGAACACGGCAGGCACAAGCTCCGAGCAGCCTAGGGCAACGCGAGCCCACCTTCCCAAGTTAAGCAAACCTCTGCTGAGGCAGGTGAGGAGGAAAGGGAAATTTAAAGCAGCTGACACACAGATCCTCTGAGGCAGCCATCCCCACCCCACAGGCAAAGGAAATAAGAACACCCAACACAGGCAGAGACTCTGTAGAATTCCTTTAATTGCTGTTAAATGCAAGTCTGTAAAAGGTTTGGAGAAAGTCATCATTACAAAACTACCAGCTGTTAGAATTGTTCCTGGTTTTCACCCCAGCTAGAAAAGGCTCAGGGCGATGCAGAATAGTTCAGAACAGAGAATATTGCACAGACAACCAAATGGTTAATTTGACTAAAGAAGGGGGGAAAAAAAGTGACACAGGTGAGAGAACTGCACCCTCAGAGCTCTGCTGCAGGCCCAGCCACGACTCATACCATCAAACCCAGAGGGAACAGAGCCCCAAGCCCCCCACCCTGACACCTTCACTGGTGTCACCCACCCACAGGCAGGTTTTCCTGCTACAGCTAAATTTAAGCCCAGGATAGGGGTGAGGCTGCAGCACATTCTAGAGGCTCTGCTGGGCCCCACCATACACCAAGTGGGAGGAGAGTTGTAGCTCAGTCCCCAGACCTCGTGGGTTTTGCAGGACAGACATGCTCTCGTGTAAGTGCCTGAAGTCACCACTGCCACCAATTCACCTCCACAGGCAGCTGCATTTGAGGATCTCCCCAAAGGAGGGGAAAAAAAAGAAAAAAACACAGAACTGCAACTCTTCCAAGTGCACCAAAGGTAATGTTATCCAAAACCAGAAGGAAACCCACAGCTCCGACAAAGCAGCCCTGGAAAGGGCAGAAGGACAAAGGTAGCATGTATAGAACCACCACCCGAAAGGCCAGAGACAGCAGCAAAGGCTCTGCCCCTTTAGGATAACTATGTATTAGCAACATCCACTGAGGAGCATCTCATGACTTTAGAAGGGAACTGCCCCAAAAAGAGAGGCCATGGGACCGAAGGAAGCATTGCAAGCAGTCACAGGGGGCTTAAGGGAAGGAAACCAAGTGAGCACAGCCAGGCTTGTGACCTTGGTGGCCACAGGGCCTGGTGCGGGTGGGACGCAAGGGGAGTCAGAGGCATAGACAGACACAGCCTCAGCCAACAGGCACCACCCACACTTGGGTGCTTCTGCCTCCCCCTGGGTTGGGAGAGGGAACAGCCGAGCCTCGGTGCCAAGGCATAGGTTAAAGTGGTCAGTGGGCCAGACTGGGGCTCTGCAAGGGCTGAACTGGGCACAACAGATGGGTTCTGCTCCCAGGGTGACCCAAATCACTGCCTCCCCAGAAGGGCTCAAGTAAGAGCAAGCCACAAGTACTTTGCTTGGGAAATTTAACGAGAAGTACACAAAACCCAGTAGAGGAAGGCAGTGCAGCTGCAAAGGGGAAAGCAGCAGGCCTTGGCTCTTAGAGGAGCTGCTGCTCTTGCAGCAGGAAAAAGGAGTTTCCATTAAAAAAAAAAAAAGCCTCCAAGACAAAAAGCCAGGCAGAAGCTCAGAGTTTGGCAGGGAGTTTGGCTCCTTCCAGCACAGACCAGCTTTGGGTGAAAGCCACAAGGCAACTGCCTTTCTTTGCAGCAATGAGTCACACAGCAGAAGGGGCTTCTACTGTAGCATCTCCAGCCCCTGGCTACTTCCTGCACAGGGGCTTTCTCCAGGGATGGCCTGGCCAGCAGCAAGCAGGCACAGCTTGCATCCAAGAGCCTTTGAACTGCTGTACTGTAGATTACAGGTGCACACACAAACAATCAGCCAGCTGGCAGTACCAAGCAATCCTGCCAGCTGTCCGAGTGCACAGCTCACCCCGGGGACCCCTCGCTGCATCGTATCTGCCTCTACCCGACACTTTTGGGACAGTCAGTTTTGGCTTGGCCAGTCTCTAGGACCTACTGAGAAGACCGGCTCCCTAGCAGCTAAGTATACAAGTGGACTCCTGCTTCCTCCTCCTCCTCCTCCAGGTCTGAAGCGGTGACTTGAGTTGCCCACAGGATTTAGCAGAAATGAACCTCCCCCAGCCTGGAACTGCAATCCCCAGCACAGTTACACACAAAGGAACAGCCAGTCTGTGATTTAATTCACATTCGATGGTGGAAATGAGCCTGTGACACACACTGGAAGCAGCCGCTTTACTCCCAGTCTTCCCACTCTTCATCTTCCAGCTGCAAACAAAAGTAACATCCCTCAGCTTGTTTCTGTAACTCATCAGCCATCTGCCAACAGATCCTCCTGCCCAGGGCACCTGAGTCAGCACAAAGCCTGGCATATCCTCATGCTCCCACACCCTCGCAACAGGGATTTGCTTGCTCTGCTCCCCTTGGGGAACTTGCACACTCATCCCTCTTTAAGCACGTCCAAACAGCCACTCTCTGCTCCAGCTAACTCCCATGACTCCCACAGCAAGAGCCCAAGCTAAGCCTGTGCCCTCGAAGAGTGAGTCACGCCTTTGAGAAGCCTCCTGTGAGCTGCTCTAGGCAGGCAGCTGCCTGCTGCAGCGCTGCCCTTCCAGGTCAGCAGCAGCCATGCCTTGCTGCAAACATGCTGCACAGCCTTGGCTCCAGCACAGGGGCTGGAAGCGGAGCTCAAGCCTAGGGATTCACCCTCTCGCTCTGTGGCACTGCAGTCTCTCTCCTCCCCCCGCCAAGGGGAAGCACCCAGCAATGGCAGAGCTCACGCAGCATCACCCCAAGGAGCTGTTGATGGTTTCTGGGAGCAATCTTCTTGCCTATTTGAGTGAGCACCTTCCCTTGACTCACCTCCCCAGACACTTCCACCTTCGAGAGCGCCAGCTGCACCTCCTCTTCAGTCATGTCCAGATCAAAGTCCTTTTCCCAGTCCTCACTGATATCGGTGCTGGAGCCTGTAACCACAAACATCACGATGAGCCATCAGAGCCGCACGGGCTCACCAGACTCTCTGGCCAAAGCACACAGCTGCCCAAGCAGGCCCACAAAGCCCTGGCATTCACGAGGCTTGGATCTACTGCAGCCCACCCGAGGACAGAAAGCCTCCCTTACACCCAAGAGCAGGCCATCAGCTTGCTAACAGAGATGGGATAGACTGAACTGCACCTCCCTTGCAGCAATGGCTGGCTCAGAACAAGCAGGAAAGATGACTGCTGAAACATGTTCTCCTCTGGCCTGGGAGAACTAAGATGTGTCACGCTTCAGTCGCACAAAAAATACAACAGATAAGGAATGAGAGGAGTGACATAAATATGGGGACTGCCAAACAGAATGAACCTCCTGGGGCAGAGGGGCAGCGGGGACACTCCTAGGGGTGACATGCAGAGGGAAGGAAACACCACATTCCCTGCACAGGCCACGGCCTTGCCCTGGCACCCAGCAGGCCAGGGATCAAAGGTCTACCCTGTTCAAGCTGGCAGAATTTTGATTTCTTGTCTAATTTCACTCTGCTAACAGACCCAGTTCATGATACTTGGCCACCCTGCTGGAGCTTTGGTTGTTTCCAACGGCTTTATAAACCTATAACCAACATAACCATTATTCTGGGAGAGCTGCACCAGGCTCTGATGAAGGCAGAATCCCCTGCAATGAAAGGTTTGTAAAGAGTGTCAGTCAGAAGTGCGACACGTCCCTCCTCAGGGTCCTAGAGGAGTCTCACCCTCCATCCTCCTGAGGGAGCACCAAGAACAGGGCTCAGGAGAGGGCTCAGGCCACAGCCAGCTGATGTGACCCACCCCAACAACATAAGCATAAGGATTTGCCTCCACTTTAGTTTCAGACATTAGACAGTCTTTGGATATAACCTTCCTGGGTGATTTTGGCAAAACCCCTTTTCTCCTCCTCCATCATCACAAAATTGGATCCTTTTCCCAAAAGTTGCCATGGTCAGCAGAAGGTTTCCAGGCCCTGTGCTGGCCCCATATACACACCTTTCTTGCCATTGTTGGAAGGAGTGGATTTCCCACTATCCGAGTTCAGCTCAAAGACTCGTAGATCTGTTGGTCCTTCCTCTTTCAGAGTCTCTGTCCTGCCCTGGGCTTTGCTCTCCACCTCTTTGAGCTCTGTAACAGCCAGTTGCTCTGAGGATGCTGCTGACTCCCGGGCAGATGCAGAAGGATGAGCAGGTTTGGGGGGCTTTGGCACGGAGCTCTGCTCTTCTGAGGTGGCCTCCAGCAGCCTCTGGGAGAGGTCTCCATCCCCAGCTGGTTGTGCTCCAGTCTGTAGCTGCGCAGCAGGCACAGAGGCAGGGTTTGCAATCTGAGTCACAAGGGAGATGCTCTCACTGCTCTCAGAGGGGCTCCCCTCTGCTGGGGCTGGCTCCGGAGGGAGGACGGCCCAGCTTTCCTCTGAGGGTCCCTTGTGAGCAATGGGGTGGCTTCTCTCCAGGGCTGCAGGGGCAGATTCTTGCTCTGCTGCTTCTGGAAATTTCACGTTTGCACAAGGCAGGGGTGACATCCCCAAGAACTCCTCTGTAGGAAGGCAGAAGGGAAGCAAGAGATGTTTCAGCAAGTGCAGCAGCTGACAGTGCAGCAGGGTTGGCTGCAGCTGGGCTGGGAGTTGAATTTGTGGGAGCGAGGAGGAGCCACCACCCTCTCTAACTGAGAACTGCCAGGGTCTTCACGAGCCCTCCTGCAGATCCCCAACCATCTGACCCACCTTCATCCTCTTCCCAGCCTGGCTCCTCTTGGTGAATGCTCTGCTCCGCTCGCTGCTTCAGAGCCTCCCTCCGAGCTTCATCCTGCAGGGAATTCAGTGTCAGCAGTGACTCACATCCCCAGTTCTTTCTTCCCCCAGCTACTTCAGCATCAGTGACAAGGCAGCCCAGATCCCTGCTTTTCCAGGAAAATTATCTTCTGCCTCTTAGGTCTGCATTAGAGAGCTCCTTGGCTGGAGCTCCTGACCTACCTGCTCCAGGCGATGCACTTTATAGAAGTAGCGCTGCCAAAATTCAGAATGGGAAACAGCCACCGGGACCTGGAAGCAATATGGGAAACACCATAAGTCACTTCAAACGAAGGACTGCAGTTGCTGCCTTGCTCCCCGCCTCCTCACAACCCTTGCAGCTACCCTCATAACATGCGCAAGGCACCTGTGTTTTCAGGTGCACAGACTTGGGACCAAGCCTCAGGTACTGACACTGGCAGATGCTCAGACACACATCTGACAGCTACAGAGGAACTTCTGTTCTAGGCCCATGACAAACAAGCAGAGAAGAAGAATATAATACACTGCCTAACATCCCTGTGCCAGTTTACCATGCGACCACAGTCCTTTCTACTACCAACTCCAGGGCCCAAGCAGCTCAGGGCTTCCCTGCACCACACCCCAAGTCAGAACTTGCCCACTACAGGGGCCAGGCAGGGCCCTACCATTTTGGTGTAGAGAGACCGGATGGAAGGGCTGGTTGCCAGCAGCTCTGCAATCTCCCCTTTCTTCTCCTCTAGGTTAAACTGAGCGAGCCAGGCCTCAAGGAGCTCAGCAGGGCCTGTACAGGATAAGCACAGAGACAATAGTCCTTGGCACAAACAGGGCAAGAACAGTTTGGGGAAGTCTGATTGGAAAAACGCTATGGATCAGACCAGCTGGGGTGAGCAAGGGGCAAAGGAGGAGGGAGACATAAGTCTCTGAGCCCACCCCATGTCGTGGGTCCTCTGTCAGCACAAGGCCACATAGCACCAGCTGTATGGCCCAGCAAACTCTCAGTCTAAGCTAGTCCCCAAGGCAACAGATAGATCTCTTTCCATAAACAGTGACCCCATCTACAGCCAAGCCAGCAGGCCCCACTAGCAAAAGACTCTGGGCAACTCGGGACAGCCCACAGGCTCCATGCAAGGGCCAGCTTGGCTCAGCAGCACCACCAAGCCCGCCCCGTACCATCAGGTTCATTGCAGTACGTGGCTGGATCTGACTGGAGGCTGTAGAGGCGAGCCTGGAGGAGAGGACACACAGGGCAGAGCCATCAGTGGAGGGGCAGCAGCTGAGCCCTGAGAGGACAGGGCTCGGAACTCTACATCCCGGAGAGAAGCTCTGGGAATGGGGCACTCACCTTGGCGCTGTCATAGGGCTCTGTGGTACCTGTGGGTGTTGCCATCAGTGTTATGACATCGCAGTCAATGGTCTTATCCGGCGAGGGAGCAAACGTGTCAGAGATGACACCCAGGATGTCGGAGAGCCCTTTTCTCACCTTTTCAGTGGCACCTGAGGAACCTTCTGTTCTCTGGAAGAGAAAAAGCAGCACAGTGTAAGCAACAGTGCCTGCAACAACAGGACGAGTCTCAGTCTTTTCTGGATAGGTTGCTTTAAGGAAGCAAGATGTGTCTCCCTACAAAAACATGCTAATGAGGCAATTGTGTGGCCAGGGCAGGCACTCACCTCAGCTGGTGATGGTTCCAGGCAGGCCTTGTAATAAGTTTGTGGGGACTAGCCTAGGCTTTTTTCAGGGCAGGACTGAGCCAGGTTTGGCGACTGGCTGGTTTGGGGGTTGGACTGTCACAGCGGCAGCTGTGCAGGGCTAAGGTTGACAGCTTGGGCAGAGATCTGATGTCATACTACAGTGACACTGCCAGTATCCCACCTACATGGCACACAGGGGGAGGGAAAGCAAAGGAACTTGTCTCCACTTGTCTCCAGAGATTCCTCACCATTACAGCAAGGAAATCCCACACAGTGCTTGGCACCAAACCTGCACTGGGGAGAAAGTCTGAAACCTGAAGCTCATGGTTATACGTTGGGGTCTGTTCAGAGGATCGTGTCCTCAGAGGCAGGTACATCCTATTCATGCTTTGCCTTCTGCAACAAGAATCTCAGCTCTCTTACTCCTATACTCACTGCCAGCTTGTCCTTGACCACACTGGCCGTAGCAGCGATAGTGCAGGCTGTGTCATGCTGCACTACTTGAGTGAACTCAGCCAGGTCCCGTTTCATGAACTCCAAAGCTTCTGTAGACTGTAAGAAGATGACAGACAGATTGTGTAATCTTTTTGCTCTCCAACAAAGCCACAGTCACTCTGGGAACACCTGGCACATTACAAAGATTAAGGTGCAAGAGCCTTTTAACCCAACTGAGCCCTTACTCCAACTCGTGCAATGGGTAAGACTGTAATAACCAGAATAACAACAGGAAACTGCTATACCCAAAACATGCTACAGTGGGGTTTTTTTTAAGCTAAGAATCGAAAAATCCAGGTTGTTATGAGTTTTGCGTATAATTAACATAAGCAATGCTGTCACAGGCAGGAAATTACACATCAGAAAGCAATGCTGCAAGCACATGCTCTCCCTGCTCAGGTGATGATTTTCACATCAACAGAGCCAAACGCTGCTCCCCTGAGCCATACGACCCCAGCACAGCGGTCAGGCCCCCAGCTCCCAGCGCTATAACAAACGCATCCCAGCTCCCTCCACGCGTACCGAAGGGGCCCCGTCCCGGGGTGACGGGCCGCGCTACAGCCGCACGCCCCCGCCGGGCGCCAGGCGGTCCCTAGGGCGAGGCTCTGAAGGCATCAGAGCCGCTGCTGGCAAAGTCACTGCTGC